CCTGCTGCACCAGTATTTGACATGTCCAGTGCTTTCAGGATATAACTACCTCCAGACTCACTCTCAGGAAAAAAATACTTTGATGAGGTCTTGGATCTTATTTTTGCTATATGCTTTAATGCCTGGCAGTATGTAGAATATTCACATGACAAACTCTGCTTTCTTGGTTTTATGAATAATAATTGTTAAAAAACATTTGGGTTTTAACAGTTAAATGGGAGAATATGTAGAAACATTACAAAATACACACTGTATAGAAATTAGTAGGTCTTGAAGGGTCAAATTCCCACTGATTGGAAGGGAATCATACCTAGCTTGCTTCTGCAGATATTTGGTCAGCCAATTTCAAGTCCTCCAGTAGGCAGTATTTCCAGATTTCTGTAGGTAGACTATTCCCAAACTTTAATATTAGAACAAATTTCCTCATATCTAATCTAAGCCTCTCTTGATGGTCTGTGTCCTGTTAGGAGGGATCAGGGAAAAGAGTTTATTCTCTTACTTTTAGCTACCTTCTACAGATACAAGAAATGTTTTCAGTGTTTACCCTTCATCTTCCGTATTCACAATCCTTGTTTTCTAAACATCTAATTTGTTTTCGCTTCCTCTCCCTCTTGTTGGTTTCCATTTTTGTTGCTGCTGGATTAACAACAAAGCAAGTAATGTTTCATTTTTGACTTTGCAGTCCCCAGACTGGACACAGGGCCTTTAAGTTCTGATTAGAGGAGGAAAAAATACTTCATATAGGTTTCACTATGGACTTCCAATATGGGGAGGGGGGGAAACTGTTTCATAACATGATGATTGAGAGATCTCTGTTCATCTTGTTACCTGCTACTGAAAACTTTTTCTCAAAAACAAGCAAAGAAGACAACACAAAAACAAACAAACAAACAAATCCTCAAAAAGGAGTTTTGGGGCTGTTGTTCTTCATCCTGTTTCAATCGATCAGATTAATCCTACTAAGTGTGGACTCCTGCATTTGTCTTTGCTGAAAAGTATCTCATTTTCTAGACTTTTTCTCAGAATTGTTTTGAATCAGGTCTCTCTGTTTGTGCTTGCTCCCAGTTTGCTATTGTCTGCTAAGGTATTAGGTATGTTCTGCATTAATGAAATTGTTGAACAGTCTGAAACGCATCTCTGCGGCATCAGTTGTGTCCCTCCTGCACCACAGCACATACTGAGATCTATCAGCAAAGGAATTATTATTTTGACTATTCTAATAAATTGCAGTGAATAAAGCACAGTACAGGTAGAGCACCACTAACTCCAAGGGATGTATGAAAGAAAATTAGCTGTCTATGCTGGAACATACCCAGGTCCAGGGAAATCTCAGTTAAGTAACTATGATTTCTTACAGGAGAAACTGCTACTTAGTAGGACTTTTAATATGACAAAACACAACACTGCAAAGCTGGGACAGCTCCTGTCCTTTCTCTTCTTCTCCTGTCTCTTACTTGCCATCTTCTCCACTGGCTCACTGCTGGATCTTGCTGTCCTCTCTCCTGCTAAGTACTTAACTACCATATGAAACTGCCATATCCAAATTTCATCTATGTATTATTCAAACCACAATATCATTGTGTATTTTCTCTCTCTTGGATTTGAAAACTACGGAAAAAGCACAAGTTCTTAGATGCAAGTACAAGGTTTGCAAATAGGTTTAGGTTTATAATATGCTTACAGTTTTTCCAAACATAGCACTGATAGGCAAAATGGAAATCTTATTAGTGTTTGTGTAGGTCTCAGATATAGAATTTTGTGTATTTAATTACTATTATTAGTATGTATTGTTATTATGTAACAATGGATAATAATAATATATGGATAAATGTATACTGTGTACTGTTCATTACCTATCTTTTAATATTAGGTTTGGCTAATATCAAGTGAAGCATCAGTTTAACATTTTATTTTATCAGATATCAAGAACAGACAATTATTTTAATATTAGTTTTAGTACAGAACGGTAAAACTTTAGCTTGGCTACTCACAATCAGCATAAGTATTATGTGGTACTATTGCAGTTTATGTGTCTGAAGTGCTGCATATAAATTTTAACTGACTATTATAATGGTAAATTACACAACCTCTTCTAGTGGATTATCTTTCAGTTGCACAGTACAGTTTTAATGACCTGTCTTTTCAGTTTATGAATTCTGTATTTACTGGGTGTTAACGCAATGCAGGAGACAGAATACGTGGCATTTCAATACATGGGAGTACTGTATTTTGTAACCACACAAAATACAAAGAATAAGGTCAGATTTAGTTCATTGTCATTAGTCAAACCACCAGCAGCACAATCTGGCTCTCCGTGCAGTTACAGCATTAGGATGAAAACAAGCAAATGCCAAAGGACAAACCCCCTTTTTTTGTGTTTCCTTCCGTCTCTTCTCTTTGCCCACAGACGTTAACACAGGGACACCAGCAATATCAACAACGACAACCGTGGAAATCCGGAAGAGCAGTGTTATGACAACTGAGATCACCTCTAAAGTGGAGAAAATCCCCACGACAGCCACTAGCAGCACCACGTGCCCTTCCGTGGAGACTGAGGAAGAAAAAGCAAAAAGACTGCTGTACTGTTCACTATGCAAAGTCGCTGTCAACTCTGCCTCGCAGCTGGAGGCGCACAACAGTGGTGAGATGGAGCAGTGCTTGCTTTTCTCCTTTTTTCCCCTTCTGTCTCAAGAGCTGTGCAATTATCTTCCCCTGAATAGATTAGATCTTTTGCAGCAGGGGACAAAGAGGTGGCAGAAAACTGGCAATTACAAGGAATTCATTAACTATTAAAGAATAAAAATGACAGGCAAAGAGGCTTTCATAAAGGGGGAAGAAAGGAATTTTATTGCATGCAAGTTACCCATTTTCTTACATTTTAGCTTTTGCAGCTTCCAAACCTTATAGAGCTAAATGACAGCTCATGCTTCATTACCTTTGGCATTCAGAGTTTGCATAGTTTTGTTTGTGCCAGCTAGCAAACTGAGTATGAATGCCATTAGTTTTGTTTGAAATCTAACAAATTAAGGCTGAAAGAGGGAGCGTCAGTCAGAGTCCAGTAATGAGAGTTAGGATTCTTAGCTCCATATTGTCTGTTAATAACCTGTTCAAATTATGTATATTTTCCCTTTGTTTTCATCAACTGATAGCAACTGCTGTATGAGACTTCCTTAATTTCCAAACCTTTTCTTGTTATTAGAGCTAGTAACTTCAATAATTTCCAGTAGTAGCAAGACATTGTTCACAGTCACTATTTTAAGCATGTCATTTACTGGCTGGGCAGTGAGCAGAGTTAAAAGATCTTGGGATTTAATATGGTGGCAATGAACGCCTGTAACCATCCTACAGAAAATCTCCTGGCTTTGGATGTCAGGGGTTACCTTCCAGCAGGGTAAATAGATTTAAGGGACAGACATTGAAACTTAGGTTCGAAACACAGAGACAGTGATCATATACCTGCAGCAAAATGATTGGTGATTTCATGATGTAATAAAATAGGAATTAACTTTGGCATGTCTGAAGAATCCGCTTTAAAAGGAAATGATAATTTGTTGGTATTCATGAGAAACAAAGCCTGGTCAGTTTTGAATGCTGTGTTTCATGTATGCCAGCTCTTCAAGTGGTGAAAATTCAACTTCATTAAGCTATTTAACTTCACATGAGAGTTAGACTCAGCATTCTTCTGATGAAGATGAGAGTCAAAACATTATTCTTCATATTTAAACACAACCTTACAAGTTTTTGCTGTCTATGCTGATCAACAGTGTGTTTGCTCACATATATGCATGCTCGTAAACATGTACATGTGAGTGCATATAGCAATTATCAGTGGAACACTAGTTCTGTACACAGTACTAGTCTGTTATCATCACAGCCTGCCTGTGTGGAAGTCAACAGTATAAGAAATTCTTCAGCCTGAATAAAGGTAAAGCTTCAGGACACTATTGTTTTCTATCCAATCTTTATTTTCATAAAAAACTCAAGTGCATTTTTCTCATATGTATGTTTGTCACACATTTTGGTTTCTGTCCAGGCCATTAAGGATCCACAGGTCGCTGCCAGGAACCTCTGCCCCTTTTTTGATTTGGAGGCTAATTAGTTAATTACAGATTTAAGTGTAAGCTACATAAGACATACTGTTTATCAATCTATTCAGGAAGACTACAAATAAAATCCAACTACATCTTTAATAGCTAAATTACTCTTCTTTTGCAACTACAGTTCAGGTCTTATTAGCAGCAGGAGTTAATGAGAAAAGTCACACCCATTTAACTTCACATCAGGATACCTGATTGTGCCACTACTTACTGGTGTGGCTGCTTTGTTCTAGTGCATTACCTACAGGTATGTAATTTAATAATGAAATATCAGATGTTAAATACTGTTACATTGGTATGAATCAGATACAGACAAACACAGGCATATTCCAAGGACAGCATGTGGCACCAAGCTGAGGTTCATATGATTTTCTTTTAAAAAGAAAATAAAACAATGAATGCAACCCCATTGCCAAAGTTGTTTCTGTTTCCCATTTCTAATGTCTCCAGGGACTAAGCACAAAACTATGCTGGAAGCTCGGAATGGAAGTGGAACCATAAAAGCCTTTCCCCGGGCAGGCGTAAAAGGCAAAGGACCTGTGAATAAAGGAAACACAGGCCTTCAGAACAAAACATTTCACTGTGAAATATGTGATGTGCACGTAAACTCTGAGACACAACTGAAACAGGTACTCAGCTAGCTTGCATAGTGTGGATCCTTGGCTGTTCTTTGTTTTCATGATGATAAAGTACCAACAGAGTCAGCATGTGTCAGTCTTAACAGTTTGCATCCAAATGGAGCTTACAGATTTTGCCCTTTGTATTTGGCTGTCATGCTGTATATTTTGGTTTGGATGTGATTTTCCCTTACACAGAATATGTTTTCTCAAAATCTCTTGATTACTTGATGATCTTAAAAGGTCTTTTCCAACCTAGTTGATTCTATGATTCTACATATATTTCTGTAAAGCATTATAGAAGCTGTAAGCTGCAACATGTTACAACTGTCTTTAGAGTACTGTAATTGTCATGAGCTAATAAACCCTGCCATTCAGTGTACTGCACGATATTGACCTTGACAAAGATGTGGAGGTGGGTGCAGGCAGTACTTTCACAGAACACTGAATAACCTGCTTAGAAATGCAGGATAGAGAGGATTTGTAATATTTTTTTTATCAGTGTTACTCTGTAACTGAGAAGCATGACCTCTAAATTGCAATTACACTAAGTTATGTTCAGTCATTCTTCAGATGAACAAAGCCTTTGTTCTGAAAAACACTCAGTTTAATTCCGTACGCCTTTTGGAATTAAATACTTGTTAGGGAACTTCACACGAATGAAGATAACTTCACTAATGGACAATAGCAATATTTGTCTTCTGCTTTCAGCAG